ATGAAATTGAAAATTTTAACATGAACTGGGAAATCAATGTACCCTGGTATATAATTTTAAAAATCTGAATTCCTTGGGTATAATGTATGTTTATATAACACTCAGTAGATGCTATTTTTTAAGAAACTTATGTAACTAGGCATGACTGCTTTTATGTTCATTTTATTTTATATGTTTACAAAAGAGTGCATAATGGAAAAACACTGAAATTTCCTTTGATCCCTTCTTTAAATAACTCAGTCACTTTGTTATGATATAATTAGCCTTTTCACAAAGATCAATGCAAATTAATATGATTTGATATTAACATCATCATTTATATGCCACTCAGATACTGTGACAGTTAACTGTACATAATCAAAAATTGCCAAAAGGACTGAGAATGGAGAAGGTATTACAGGCTAAACTGGAATCTGGTGGATCTTGCAAGTGTGTTTTTTTTCTTCAATTCACTTGTTACTAAGTTTGCTGACACCACTGAAGAATCACAGTTTGAAATCTGATGTTTTTACTTCAGTGTAATTCTGTAAACACAGAATATCACTGAAGTCATTGAAAGTTTCACCTGATCCAATAGAATTATTAAAATATTCCAGTCATTAAATATATTCATTTAATTAAATAGGTACTGACTGATTAAATTAAAGATATTCCACTCTGATAAATCCAGTGAACAAATATTATAAATAAATATTTCATTTCAGCAACTCTTACAAAACTAGCATAACTTAAGAATAAAATACTTAGTGTATATATTCTTATGTGGTCACTAAATATGCACCAAATAAACAAAATCTGTTTCACTAGAAGATTTCTGAACGTTTAAATAATTTTTGCCATTCAAAATACCTTGTTTGTCAACAATACTTTTGCAAAAATTTATTATCCATTTAACAGCTAGGGCACTTGTATTATATTCACAATACAAATATTCCCTAGAATTGTTCTATGTTGACATTACCTCCATTCAAGTAAAGCATTGCATATTTTACCTAAATAGTTGTTAACCTTAGCAATTGTGTTTTTCTTATGAATGAGATTCTGACAACATAGTGTACATGTACTTTGCTATGTTGTTAGCTAGCCACAAAATTATAGAATGAAATATAAATATAAACCCAAATGGTGTAAATAAAAACTGTATTAGAATTTAAAAGATGATACTGATGTCAATAACAACGAAAACAAAATACTATAGCCATACATGTAAAGTATAGGAGTCAAGTAGTCATAATTCTGTTATATAAGAGACCATCTTGTTATAAATCAAGGGGGAAAAAAACAAAAAATTCATGTTGATGCTTTATTTTGACATTTTGTCCATTTTCTTTCTAAATATGGAATTTTAGTATCTTGTTTCAGCAGGTAATTTATTGTTTGACCTACTAAAATTCAAGATCAGTATGTATTTCAATTTGGGTATTTCAAGTTTTACGACTCCTATTATAACAGTTTGACAGACACGAGGTATTAGGAGCAATAGTTGGTAGAAGTTGAGCGCATATACACGGAGTTTACCAATTTCCAATTCAAAGGGAGTAATTTAGCTGTGTGATTTAGCAAACAATTAAATTTATGAATATAATTGCTATTCTTTTTTTTTTAAAGTTGATACAATGACACTTCACTATAAAGCATTTCATTATAACACAACTGATGTAATGTGTTGTCATGTGTCTCGCTATAACATTTCTCTTTATAACAATCCTTGATAAAACACATGCATGGTCATGGATCTCTATAAAGGTTTGCATTATAACACAGTCCTTGATATAATGCATGTAGGTTCATGAATCTCTATATAGCTTTTCATTATAACACCATCCTTGTTATAACAAATGTATGGTCATTTAACTATATAAAGCTTCTCATTATGATGCAGTCCTTGATAGAACACATGTATGGTCATGGATCTCACTATAAAGTGTCTCATTATAATGCAGTATGATCATGGATTATACGGGTTGGATTATGTTTTCCTTATTATGTACCCCATTACAAGTTGACATCACATGTATCATGGTACTTGTAGGGCTTCCTGAACACCATTACACTGAGTGACTTCTAATAAAGCTAAGGAATTCTTTCTACGTCATTGCAAGTTTATAAAAATCATTGATCAAGGTTCATGCTTAAGTGAAGTTGATAATTTATTTACATGTTGTTAAGAGGTTAACATCTATCCCAGAATGCATATTTATATCTGTTTCACTGACAGTGTTCCTGCAGGTCATGGAATCCTGGAAAAGTTTTGGAATTTAAAAAATAAATTTCAAGAGCCTTGAAAAGTTATGGAATTTATCAAAACCTTGCAAAGTTTTGGAAAAGTCATGGAATTTGTGACAGTGGAGTTAAAGAAATTGCTTACTTCAAATTTCATAGAGCACAGAGAACCGAATAAATAAAATGTTAAAATTACAATCAATAAATGGTTTCATTTCATATAACAAGAGTAAGTTCCCCTAATGGAAGTATCACCTGATTTCTGGTGTAGTTCACTAAATAAAAGAAAGCAACTGGAAAGTAACGTGTTTTGTTAATATTGTAAATAGGAACACATACAAAGACTACATAGAATTGTTTCCTTTTTTTCTTCTGAATACAAATTACATTGATCATTGGATTTTGACATGAATTACTACATAAAGTCAAAGTGTGCTAGCCCAGGTAAATTTAAAATGTACATATTAAAAATATTTGTTGTTAACATATTTGTTATTTTAGATTGAAAGATGTCATTCTTTATATTCATTTACTTGACAATGCAAGATAGTGCGGTCTTTGAGTTTAATGAAATGGCCCTGGAAAAGTTTTGAAAAAGTCATGGAATTTGTTTTTGTTAAGTCTGCAGGAACCCTGCACTGAAACTGCTTCTTAATGCTAATGGCATGACAGTGTAATTTTTATGTACTGTAATTTTTTTATGTACATTCTGCATTCTTTCTAACAAACATGAACATGAAGCAAATTTGCAGAGAGAGTATGTATACATTTACTCCCAATACTAATAAGGAATCACTATTTTTCCCCATTAGGAAATTTCATAATTTCATGTCGCTAATCACTTTATAGTTCTCCATAATGTCATGATGTCAGAATATTATGAACAGAAATTGATTTTAATTCTATTAAGTGTATTGTACATATTTTAGACCATAATGACGTGCCTATTCCTTTCTTCCCATTATAAAATGAAAATAGTTGGTGATATGTAATGTTAAGTCATATTATATATGCACGACAAATAATCTCATGTACTTGAACAGATCTTTTGGTTTGAGGCTTTGTTTATTTACAATGAATTCTTTTTAGTTTATTTGATCTGCTCCATTGTTCAGAATTACTATTATTAACAAGTGCCAAAGTTTATCATTTTCTTTCATGTACATTATTAAGATGCATTTATCTTACCTCACTTTAAACATGTGAGATACTGTTATTTAATTATTATATTTTTTCAAAACATTTCTGTGTGTAACACTTATAATAAAACCTTAAAACATCACAAATGACGAAGTGAAATCATATAAGGCAAGTGTGTAATGGCTAAAGCATCCATAGGCATTTGAGATTCATTTCACAATACTATTCTTTGGTTTTGTTGAATAAATTCAGTGTATTTATTTGACAGACAAATTCAGTGTATTTATTGTATAGACATAAATTCATTGTATTTATTGTATAGACATAAATTTAGTATATTTATTGTCATGTAATAGACTTAATTATATATCATCAGCACTTGCAAAAGATACAAATTTATTGATATTTCAATTTAGTTTAAAGAAGCATTTGTGAAAGATTCTCTATTTATATTAAATTTGTTACCTTTTTTAATGACTTTATTCTTATAATAGAATCTCATAAAAATGTAGAGACTTTTATACAGTGAAACTTCCTTAAACCAGTTCTTCTCTACTCCAGCTTCCAACACAGTCTGCTCATTTTGGCCTCAAAATGGTCATTCTGATAGTAATTAGTCTTTTTCTATATTGGCCATCTCTACAGAATAGTCAAGAGATTTTGTTCCAGTAGTGTCCAGTTTGGGGAAGTGGTTCGGTTTGTGTCAAGTTCAGGAAGTTGTACAGTGTTAAGTTTGGGGAAGTTGTCAAGTTTGTGTCATGTTTGGGAAGTTGTACAGTAGTAATTTGTCTATAACTCTGTCAACATTTGTTTTTCAGAATGTCGGTTTTTTAGTCAATGGATTTGCCTTATCTTTTTCATACTATATTCATTTTAATATATTAATGAATTTATTTTTTCAAATCCACTGCCAGATCATCATACTTTAGGAGAACTACTACTCTCTAGCAAATCAGCCCTCTCAAACTAAAACATTTTTTGCCCACTACAATTGATCTCCCTTTGATTCAGGGATTGTTAATTCTCCAGTAACTACTTATACTTGTGCTGAGTAGTATGCTCGCTATGTCTCTATGGACAGTGAAGTCTCACAATCCACATAAAATCATTTTGGAAGTTTTCACCCTGAAAGCAAGTTGGAGAAGTGTTTTCTTCAAAGAGAAGTATATGTCCCAGTTATTAATTTCTAACTTTCTGTTCATTCCTTCTTCAACAACAAAGTTTCTTACTATTAGGGTCAAACAGTTCTCACAGTGGTGTAGAAATTACTCAAGATGACCTTCCGCTACAAGGGATATCTTCACACAGTGGTGTGCACAATAATACATTATACTATTGCAGGCATCCATACCTCAATAACTAACTTCCTCTTATGGCTTTCTGACAAGAAACAGCACCAATCTCAGTTAAAGGCCTGTACAATTACTGGTACCCTGCATCATCATGGAAGAGAGGATATCAGATCCAATTTTTATTACACATATCTTTGCCTAAAATTGGAATCTTATCATGGATATAAACCTGGCTAAACAAGGCACCATTTGACCTCTCAAAGCGTTTCATTGATTCACCTCTCCTATAAGACCTACTTATTGGTGAATGGTTGACAGAGTCTGTGAAATACATTCTTTATTAACTGCTCATGTGGCCTAGTGGTTAGAGCATCTGCCTTGGATGTGGGAGGTCATGGGTTCGATCCCTGATCGAGTCATACCAAAGACTTTAAAAAATTGTACTAACAGCTGCCTTGCTTGATGCTCAGCATTAAGAGGTTAGTGTTAGGGCTGGTTGGCCTGGTGTCATGATAATGTGACTGGGTGGAATATCATGCTACATGTCTGCTGGTTCTGTCCCAGTGCTAGACATCACTAAAAACTGCCACACTGCAGACATTATAGTGATATGACTGAAAAATTGTTAAAGCTAGGTTAAAAATATGATCACATCACACATCACATTGGGTGGGATATCATGCTACATGTCTGCTGGTTCTGTCCCAGTGCTAGACATCACTAAAAACTGCCACACTGCAGACATCATAGCGATATAACTGAAAAATTGTTAAAGCTACATTAAAAATATGATCACATCACACATCACATTCTCTATCAGGAATCCAAACTGTGTAGTTCAGACAAGATGGGACAGTTGCTTATGCCAGCCCCTGCCATCATTGTCAAGAATAGGCTTCTGTTCATAGGGAATCTGACCTTTGTTTTAATGAATTCCTGTCTAATCTGGACACATCATCTCAAGGTCATCTACAGGATCCAGTGTGAGCGCAAATGTAATACTTATGAGGACCAAGCCATTGCATTGAGAGAAATCTTTTAACTCTTACAGAGCGAAAATATCAGCACACCTTCATCTTGGATAGAGTGGTTTATTCATTCCATATATTGGACAATAACCCCTGATCCGATGAATTTGCTTTGCATCTCTTCTCGCAGAGTTAAAGCAGTTGTCACAAACATTGCATGTAAGCAAAACTGTCCTGTTTTTATCCATGCCATGGAATGGAGATCCTGAGTCCAGTTTTTCGTACTAAAAAGCACGGTTCAATCTGGTGGGACCAATAGCCATGGTACAATAGATTACCTTCCTGGGTCATTCAACAGTTTCATAAGGATGTGACTTCATGACTTCTGGATTTGTAGGAGAGAAAATTTTTCCAAGTCAAAGCTGACCTCTGACATATAGAGAGTATTCTCCAGTAGGGTTGTCTCTCTCTGGGATAAGGGGATGTAACTCCCTCCATCTCTTACCTATTTTCCTTAGGTATTATGATAGGGTTATGTATTTAATGATAAAACCAATTTTTTTAGTAAAATCTGACTTCAATAATACTTAGTCCATCATCTGTTCCAGTAGCAGAATTCACATGAAGTGGTGCCAATGCTGTGGCAAGGGGAGATAACTGTCACCTAGATGGGCAGACAACTTTCAGTTTCTTATCCAAAACATTTAACCAGAAAGGCCTTGATTGGCTAGGTTGTAGTAGTTCTACTAATGTATTATGATAGAATAAATATTATTGAAGAAACATGATGCCATAAAATTTTTAAAATTACTTTTTATATCATGTGAACACTAGTTTGTAGGGTATTAAAGTTTACCATTATCCATCTTGACTTCTAACAGGCTTTATTTCCAAATGATAAATAAGTGAATAGATTCAGTGCAACTGTGTACATTTGCTTCTTGTATCAATTGTTGGGGACAGGAGCTCCCAAGTGCAAGCTCACTGTTTCTGAAGATGATCCCTAAACATTTTCATTTCTGGATGATAAGCTAAATGCTAGTGCTAATTAGTGTACATGTTAAAATAAGAAAGAACTGTTGACTTTGGGACCATTAGATCCAATGTCAAGGTTATTACTATTAAAAATTCATCTTGCCTATGTATCTTCTGATGAAATCTTAATTTAATTTCTTGTGAACAGATTTCAGTGCAGTGTGGCACATGCATTATCTTTATTTAGTTCAAGTGAGAACTCTTATTTTGGACCATTTAGCTCAATTAGTCATTGTTTATAGATAATGCTTTTGACTAGACATTTCATTTCCAGATGATAATGTAAATTCTATTGAACAGATTTCAGATGAATAACTGTGTCAGTTTAGAACGAGTGGCTTCAAGATGAACATCACTCTCATTAAAACTACTATCCAAAAATTTCTCAGTAAAGTTTTAAGAAATAGTTGTCTTTATATCCATGATTTTAATTTATTCCTTATCTATGGAGAGATATTGTTTGATACATTCATCTTTATGACACTGTTCTGCTTTTGTGTTGCAAAAAACAATAAAGGTGTTCCGATTTAATTGTCCCTTAGATATGGATTGATCCAATGATCAGTCATTAGGGAGATTCCATGACCACAATTGTACAGCCAATCATATTGAAGTAAGTGGTGATGCAGATATAACTTGTGTCTTTTCATCTATGAGCAAGTCAAATTGAATAATCAGCATTTAAAGGTATGTGTAAACTAATTCTGAAAATTGTGTGAGAGGGATTCACATCTGAAATCTGGATTAACACTTACAATTACCAAAGTCTCTGAATGACATACCTTTGGTATAAGGAAGAACTTTATTGATTTTGTGAGTCACAAGGTCAAAAGTCAAAGTTTCTGTGACATAATTTTGAAAATGGTTTAACACAATAATGTTAGTACTACATGACACCTCAACCAAGCTTGTTGATGACTTACACTCTGAGTAAAGAAAAAGTTATTGATTTTGGAATCAAAAGGTAAAAAGTGAAGGTTGCTGACTGAAATAAAAAAAAATGTCCCTACAATAGCAGTAGTTCTACCTTACAAACCCTGCAGAATCTTTGTGGATGGTCAGAAGGAAGCTTATTAGTGTTTGGTTCTAAAGGGCAAAAGCTCAGGCCACCTGAAAAGAAAAGAAATGGTTTCTGTATCTGCAGAGGACTATTAGGCGGGTGAGAAGTGCGCCATTCCTGTACTCTTTTTTTGACAGAGTTATGGTTTCTTTTTAATTTGGATCTTAATGATAGTTGTTTATTATAGCCCATATATATATATATATATATATATATATATATATATATATATATATATATATATATATATATATATATATATATATATATATATATATATATCAGGGTGTAAATGTGATTTATTATTCTTATGATCTCACATGGTGAGGCTAGGCACAAAGCATAACTGGCCGTGGTTTGTTTTGGGGAATTTCTAGATAAGAAACTGATATTATGTTCTGTGGAAAATGAATTAGTTTATCTATGCCCATGTGCTCTATTCATAAATGTGTGAATGAGGTCTTGTATAATACCAATGTAGAAAAAATGCACAACTTGCTTATGACAACACTGCACGATTGTTGTGAGTTATGTTATACATGATTGCATGATGTAGGAGAGTATACTTACATGTATATTATTGTCTATTTTTACTACTTGAACAATGTTACGAGTTATTTTATATATTTAAACATAAAATCATAACATTTATAAATAGCACTATCATAAATAGTCCAAGGTCAAATATATTTCCCAGCAATACAACAAAACAGAATACACATCATTAATGTTGTAAATAATGAATTAAAACCATTTTTGTTATTTTGTCTGAAACATCAAAATCATGTAAATGGGGTATATCTGCAAAATGAGAACAAAGGAAAAAATAACATACCAAACTTTAAAGAGTACATTAAAGTACATTAAGTATAACACATATGATTAAAACCATTTGGAAAGGAGAGCCCTTATTACAGACTGTTATGTATATTATTATTGTGTTTAATTTTTGTCCATGATTGTAGATTGTATGGGTCATTTTGTAAATAACAAAGCAAGGATAGCGATTAAATAGTTACACGAGTCTGCAGATTTTCGTATGTTATACCCGACTTATTACTTCACGTTGGAGCACGTGTACCTATACAGACAGTCTGTGCTAGGTCTGCACTTTTATATAAGTGTAAACTGATCGCGATGATGGTTATATATGCATTGCTATAATAATTTCTGATAAGCTTCAAGTTGTTGGAGTGCGCAGGTTGTTGAATGAGGGATGTTGATGCGTCAGTTGAAAACCTGTTTTTTTAGTTGCTGTAATTTAACGGTATAATATAAAATAATGTCATAAAAAGACATTAAGTTTGGCCTTAGAGCAAAGCATCTTGCGAAAATCAAAAGCGAAATACGAAATGATTGTGGAGTCTCACTTACAATTTCTCTGGGTAAGTTACTGGAATTGTCGCCTTGAGATTGATCTAAACACAACTTAGCTTAATGCGACCGAACAAAAGAACACTTGGGTGACCTTAAGATTATCCAAGTCAGAGATGACACAAATGCAAAGGAACAGTGGAATATTTCCATTCCTCGCGGGTGCTTCCAGTCATATATCCAGTATTATTCACTCGCGATGGTTAAATCAAACATATTATGTATCTATATGCGAAATGAATTTGTATCGATGATTCCCCGTAGAAGCGAAACTTGTATCATCAACATGGATTTGACAGGGCCTTATACATATTAACACCTCAACATTTATTGTTTGTTACTTGAACGGGCTTGTACCAAGACTAGAAGTTCTTATCTATTTAACCAGGAGTACGTGGTGGACAAAGGCCTCTACATCTCTTTTATTCGTCTCTGCCGTTATAAACTCGGTTGGACGGGCCATTATGTCACCTTGTTGACGTGCCACTTACACTCGCGGGAAGCAAAGCTTCCTCAACACCAACACCACTAACACTTATTGATTTTACATTGTCACTTAGCACGCTTAACATCATAAAAAGTCTATTAATATTTACGGACGCTATTCACACAGACGCGGCGCCATTGTGGATGTAACAGGTTTTCCACCAAAGTGTCTTTAACCAAGTTTACCAGTCTGATGTTGTTGAAATAAACCCGGGCGATTGTATGCCTTTGAAAATCAAATTGGAAATTGCGAATATCCAACGTAGATATTCAAGATATTGTTACAAAGCTGCGAAGAACCTGAATGAAATCAATGAAAATGGGACAGTCGGTGACGAGGCATGCGTTTATAAAATACTATGTTGAAAATGGTGGTGATTCTAGAACAAAACTTTATTTAGGTGAACAGATTGCAAACCTGTCTTCACCGCGTGCAGTGACTTCATGAGCATACATTATTCGGGAACCTATTAACCAGCTGTTTTTTTTTTTCTTT